AACCCAAATTTTTACCCCCGCAACTAGTAATTTTTTTCCTAAGCTCTGTCTGAAATTAAAGATTTCCTACCTGGTTGCAGAATTATCTGGGTCCCAGTAAAGTTGTAAAACTTGATTTTTTGCAATTTTGCGTTGTGTGCTGTTGTCAAAATTTTACCTCCTGTAAAGCTAGCTTTTCATGTGTACGCACCCTTTCGTATTATGGCCAAAATTTTATTCTCGAACCAAAGAAATATTCTTTCTTCTTTACAAATGTGAAGCTCACATAGCCCACTTTATCATGCTTATACCAATTTTAGTACAGTTTTATTTTTATAATTTTTTTACATATCATTATACAGGGGTTAGCCATTTAACAAAAATATCACCCATGGCCAAAACCCTCTACTGTATACTGCTACCTTTAGGTACTAGTGACCTTCAGAAACAAAACTGACCTCTTAACATACTAGTGACCTCCAGACACACCACTGACCTCTAAACATACCAGTGACTTCCAGACACACCACTGACCTCTAAACATACTAGTGACCTCAAGACACACCACTGACCTCTAAACATACTAGTGACCTCCAGACACACCACTGACCTCTAAACATACTAGTGACTTCAAGACACACCACTGACCTCTAAACATACTAGTGACCTCCAGACAAACCACTGACCTCTAAACGTACTAGTGACCTCCAGACACACCACTGGCCTCTAAACGTACTAGTGACCTCCAGACATACTAGTAACTTACTAACCTCCAGACATACTAGAAACCTACTGACCTCCAGACATACTAGTGACCTACTGACCTCCAGACATACTAGTGATCTACTAACCTCCAGACATACTAGAAACCTACTGACTTCCAGACATACTAGTAACCTACTGACCTCCAGATATACTAGTAACCTACTGACCTCCAGACATACTAGTAACCTACTGACCTCCAGACATACTAGTAACCTACTGACCTCCAGACATACTAGTAACCTACTGACCTACAGATATACTAGTAACTTACTGACCTCCAGATATACTAGTAACCTGACCTCCAGATATACTAGTAACCTACTGACCTCCAGATATACTAGTACCCTACTGACCTCCAGACATACTAGAAACCTACTGACCTCCAGACATACTAGTAAGCTACTAACCCCCAGATATACTAGTAACCTACTGACCTCCAAATATACTAGTAACCTACTGACCTCCAGATATACGAGGAACCTACTGACCTCCAGACATACTAGTAAGCTACTAACCCCCAGATATACTAGTAACCTACTAACCTCCAGACATACTAGTAACCTACTGGCCTCCAGATATACTAGTAACCTAGTGACCTCCAGACATACTAGTAACCTACTGACCTCCAGACATACTAGTAACCTACTGACCTCCAGACACCAATAGTGACCTAGTGCCCTCCAGACATGTCAGTGACCTACTGATTCCCATACACACCAGTGATCTGCTGACCTCCAGTGACCTATTTTGACCTCCTGACATACATATACTGACCTCCAGATACACAATTAAATTATATTAAATATGATTTTAACACAATCATTGAACTTGCTTTCAGATGGCATTCATAAGCAATATATATATATGCCAAATGGAAAAGACAATATCCAGGAAGTGCTAATGCCTCATGTCAAATTTGCAAAGGAGAAAGGTTTCATATATTTATCATTCAGTATTTCACTGAAAGCAAATGTATGTATCTGGTATGCTCATTTAGTCATCCTTAAAATGAAGATATGCATTGTGTACGCTTGTTTATTTGAGCAGTCATATTCCAGGTGTCTGTATTAGTGATGTAAGAATAGTGATGATGTTTACAATCAGGCAATGGCATTTATAAGTGATATGAATGCCTCCTGAAGACACACAAGTGACATGAAATAATTACCTCCAAACAAACAAGTGACAGTAGAATTAAATAGCATGACTCACATGTCACATGTTTATATTCATGGTTATTATATAAAAAAAAAAAAAAAAATAGAGTTGACTTAGCCATGTTGAATCTCATTATTTGTTTTAATCAAATAGGAATAATAGCATCATATTAACTTTCTTACTACCATCCTTACATCTGTCCGCGAGTCATTATTAAAAGTACAGAAAGGGTTGATAAAATCTTCTTCATCTTTTTCATGAATAATAATAATACTATCAAACAATCGGATGAATCAAACTACAAATGAGAAATAGAGGAAATTATGGAAAAAAAACTGAATTAAATATCTTTTCATGTTCTGTTCCACTCATGACCATTTTAAGAATATTGATGTTTTAAAAATAAATGTGTTATTCATTCAAAGTAATTGGACAATATAATGGAACAGGAGGTCCAATGGGCCTGTACCATCAACTTATTTCTCTTGTTTTCTGAGCAAGACAATAAGTTAAAAATGTTTATCTATTTTTTTGTATATTTTTCTATAAATTAAAAAAAAATCAAATACACTTGTTAGGAACATTTGTACAACATTTGGCTAAAACTATTCTAGTGCAATTGAGAATTATAGTCACAAATGATATACCATAGCCAATGTTTTAAATTTTGTATTGACCATAACAGAAAAACAGCAACGGTGCAAGACCACGATAGCACTATTTACTGTGAAATCTTCAATTTGTTGAGGTTTTTTTTTATTGGAAACCATGAAATTTGGGCCCCACGAAAAATATCTTCTTTCACAGTAGATAAAATTTTGATTACCATTGGCTTGGTGGAAGTTGAATAGAAATTGAAAATATCTCCGCCAGTCAAATAATAAGTGGACATCCTTAATCACTCTAAATTTGTTTGAAAATAATATTTGGTCAGGCTCATTAGAAGAACATTATATAAGCATTGGCCTGATAAAATTTGAAAAGAATTGAAAAATGTCTCTGCTTTTAAATATTGACCTCTATAGCCTGTATTGGACCAAGCCCTTCTAAACCCAGGGGGTCAATACCCTTCAACTATGCAACGCTGAATCCCCTTGGCCTAATAATGCTTCAGACTAAGTTTGCTTAAAATCCCTCCACCAATACTGAGGGAGTAGTCTTTTAAAATATTTACTTCTGTTACTCCTACTGAACCACACCACTCTACTCTAAAGTGGAGGGGGCATAGTCTTTGGTATACCTACCATCTCAAGTGTTCCTCATTTCTCCTTTCTGAAACAATTTCTTTATACATTTCTCTCAACATATCACTCAACCCCTTTACAACATGTATGGCATTGAATCCTTTTCCCTTTGTGATGCTACTGACATAACCTGCTTTAGATCACTTCACCGGTATTGAGGAGGCTTAATATAAAGATGTAGGTCTATTTTCCAATAATGGGTCATGTCTCTATGCCTACATAGGGTAACACAACATCAAGTTCCTTCTGTTGTGAGACTTTTCGCACCATATAAGGATAAAACTCCTTCACTCATACTGGAGGAAATTCTTTTATAGACTCACTTTCATCATAAAAAAATATTCCCTGGTCCCAAGGATGTTTCAATGTTTCATGGCAAGTTTGGTTGACATTTTCCACCTGTTTTGGTCTAGATAGACAGGTTACCAATCAATTGAAAACAGTATTACAATGAAAAGCTGAACATCTAGTGAAATCAGAATACAGAGGAGAGATTTAAGGTCTAGTGAAAACGGAATTACAGTAAAAAGATGATTGAGTGTAAAAAGTATGGCAGTGAAGATACTGAAATTTAGTAAGAAAGACCTCAGATAAAAGATAAAGTATCTAGTGAAAACAGAAAAACATTGATAAAGTTCTTCTGAAGACAGAATTATAGTGAAAAGATGGAGCGTTCTGTACCGGTAAACAGAATTACAGTGAACAGTGGGTGTTTTAATGAAAAACAGAATGAATCCTTCGGTTAGATAAGACATTGTATCTGTAAATCTGTCCACACCAATGTCAATGGAACTGGTAAATTTGGTTATTTTAGGTGGTTTGTCAGTAAAATCAGAGAAACAGACAGAGAAACTCATCCTTTGGTAACATAAAATCATATCCCAACATTGCTGGATGTCTTTGACTTCAGGTGCAGATGAAGTCAGTTTTCACAGCATTATCACTCTTTTTCCACTCTCAGGATTTATCAGAAAATCACCTCCAGAATAGTATTTTTAAAACTTCAGCCTTACCTTGTAAAAAGTTTGCAAGATCTATTAGAGTTTTATCTTCATCATCACCAGTCCACTTCTTCAGCTTGAGGCCATTTCTTATATGGAACTGGAATGATTTCTCATTGCAGTCGACTACGATGACCTTGGAAAGGTCGCGGTTCAGGTATGACAGGTCCTAAGGAGAGACATACACATGTAATCAGTAGGTAGTATCTATGGAGACAAAGGAGTTTTAGCCATAATATCTTTATTTCTAAAATTAAAATTTAAGTATTCTGACTAAACAATACTGCTATTAAACTTCTGATACTGTACATGTGTGGCTGTAATTGTTCACAGGGTGATAAGTTAATAGGGTTAAAGGTCAAAAGAATATGTGTGAAATTAACTACCTTCCTGAATATAACCCTTGACCTCACCCTGATTATCCCACTTCTGATGTAAATATCACCATCTCAAATTCAACAAAGTAAACATCCCCTTATAAAAATAAGAAAAGCGTCTTAACATCATGTCAAGAGTATATCTGCATCACTTGTCTCTAAATGATAAAAATTTAACTACAGGCCCCAACATGTGGCTAAGGGGAGATAACTCTAAGAAATGAAACCACTAGAACTACCACACCTGTGTGAACATCTACTGAAAGAACTACCACCAAAGATAAAAATGGGCTTACAGATAAAAATACTAAAATAATTATTTAATCCTTTCTATGGAAAAAATTAAACTTGTTCATCTCTGTACCCTACTCTTCTGTCATCACTGTATACTGAAGGTATCACTTATCACCTAGAAGCTAAAATCCTCCTACATACAAAGATCGGCGTTAAAGGTAATTCTAGCCTTACATGACTTTGACCATGCTACTAAACTTACCTTGACATGATGACCATTGACGTATTTTGTGGAGTCCCGGTACAGACGGTACATGACAGCTCCATGTGGATCTAAGTTGTTGACAAGTGGATCTGCATTCTACCAAGTTAATTGTAAACAATATGTATAATATAGACACACCATTTTATTCATGTTTATCATTTCCTCACATAAAGACTCTGATATTTATTGTTTATGAAAAACTTTTAAAAAAATCAAATTTCAAAAAAAACATGTTAAGGAACATATTGCATGTAAGTCATGTTCATTTTTTCACCATTAAAATGGCAGTTGTTTCTATGGTAAACATTCCACTCACTGAGATTATAAAACACATCATGATTATGGGAGAAATAGAATTAATAACTCTTAGTCATTGTGTGAAAATTTTGAATGATAGCTCTCCCTGATTATGTAAATAGACAAAACAACTTTACATGAAGTAGTTTTAACTTGTGGAAATATTAAATCAGGATTCCTGAATTTTCATGTTTCTTTTTTTTAATAAATGGCACATCAATCAATCATATTTGGGAAGATGTTATGACATACCAATATTCAGTATAATGAAAAGTTCACAAAACCTACAAAAAAAATGTCATTCATATATCAGTATGTACCTCACTTTATTTTCTGATGTTGAAATATTTCAATATTTAACTTATCTCATTAAGAAAAAGGGAATTCTCCGTAAACTATGGAAACATCAGGTGATATTGAGGATTGAAAAGCCAAGGAGAATCACTCACCATTCCCCCTTCTGATGTAAATATCACCACTTCAAACAGAGGAGGACAAACTTTGGAGAAGAAATAATCGACACCCGGTCTCTTTTTAAAGCGCCAGCCAGTCTCATACTAAAATAAAATAAACAGTGTATTAAGAAGACTCCCCGATGAGAAGTTAATATGTGTCAGCAGTATTTGTTGAATAAGCTTAGGAGGAAATAGGGAACATTTTCTATTAGGAAGGGAGCCAACATTTGTCCCTTTATGACCACAGAGAAAGCCGTGTCTGGACTGAACATGAACATGCATTCCGAATGTATACACACATTGAACATCCAAGTGTACGTATGTAATTGACACAAACTTGGCAAGGGTCCCATAGGGCCTGTATCCCTCACCTATTTCTCTTGTTATCCGAACCTCAGCCCTGGGATTTAAAAATCATTGATAGAAAAATTCACTTTTTAACAGGAAGTATTAAACCAACTGATGATTGATTGTGTATTCAGTTCATAGCACTGAGCAGCAAATTAAAGAGACAAGACTATTTTTACATTAACAGACGGCTGTTTACAATACATTGAGTTTTCTTCTCTTAAAATGAATGGATTACAAAGTAACTTGTACACTGTTTTGATTTGTTTTTCACCCTAACCACTAATCATGAAATCAAGATAAGTGAAATGAATTCATGTCTTTCAATGCATACCGTACATTGTATACTTGTATACATTTAACGAAAGAAACTTTAGCTCAGTAATGAACAATTATATTGATTGTGGAATTTGTAATCGATCAGAATCGGAAAGGACAAACCAATCATTTTTTTATTATAATCAATCAACAGCCCATCAATAGGATATATATGTATATGGTTACTCAATCATTTCAATGTTATGACCCTGCGACCAAGTCCCCAGGGGTGGAGCCATACCGCTAGGCTTATCCTGCTAGCATAATGGTACTCATCTCTTTGTGCTTAGCAATTGATCATATAGTTATTGGGATCACAAACATTTTCACTGTCATGACGTGGGGACCAAGTTCCAAGACCTCTGGTAGCACAAGTCTATTCTGTCTTCATGCCTAGCAATCACATACATGGTTAAAGAATGGAAATCTCAACTATTTCAATGTTATGGTACAGGGATGAAGTCCCTAGTGGTGGAGCCGGACACAGGAGTCAATCTCGGTAGAACAAGGTACAAGGTGTATACTTACTGTCCATTCTGGATGTATAAGCACGCCGGTGATCTCCATGACAAGTGTATACGGGGGCTGATAATACGGAGCCTGCAGTGGTTCCGGTAGGAGTTGTTCTCTTGATGGATTGATATAGCGCTGAAAAAGATAGCAATAGTTCACTACCTGTCCTAGACTTCACTTACAGTGAAACAGTCGTTAACGACTTATCCAAAGTGAAGTAATCTAAACAATTGCCTCCTGTCCATGATTTTCGACAGTAAAAACTATTAATGTTTATCTTCTACGTCCCAGATTTTATGCAAAGTAAAACATTCTTCACATTCAAAACCACTGTCATCAACATTTTGCGAATACTTTTGATGTAGATATATCTCAAGTCAAAAACGAATTAATCAATAAGAACATTCGTTTTGGAGTGAAAGGTGGTTTTTACTAACTAGGTTATAGTGATTTATGAGACACAGATATTTAAGGCCTAGACTCATGTTTATCATACGGGACTCAACTCTTTGAGAGCCCCACTATATCTCTCAGTTATGGGACATGTATATAATTATCAAATTGAAACGAGAAACAAAATACATGTAAATATATATAATTTTTTTCAATGGAAAATAGGTAAAGTTATTCAAGGAAGACAATGATTGTGGCTTCATGTTGTAATTGTATGGTGATGTAAATATGGTAAGAGTTACTTCCCTTACAGCAAATGGTGAATTGATGTTTACAAAGCATAGAATTGGTACTTTTTTCATAACACATGTCTTCAGACCAAGTGATGATATGCATCAAGAGGGGTTAGTTAGTCTGACTACATGCATTGGTAAAACAGGGTGGTAGAAAAACATTGCTACCCACACTCTTCTACCCTTATTTTTCTAGGAAAGATACCACACCCAATTTCTTTATTTTTTCCCAGTTCTAGAGCTACACGACCCGATGATTCCAGTTCTCATTCTGCTTTCAGAAATTGTTGGATATCATCCATTGACAAGCCAATAGTGAGGATGCAGGCAAACAACTACAACAATCTGTTTAGGTAATTTGTCACCTATTTGTTCGCTATGGTCAGGGGCAAATACGCATACATTGTGAAATTAATCAAACTATTGAACTTTGACAACCGACACGCTGCCAGGGTACCCAAGGTCAAATATGTTGTGCACATGATGAACCTTGTGATCTTGTACTTGTGACCTTGAACCCGTGTCCCTGAACTTTTATCCTTGAACCTTTGCCCTTGAACTTGACTTGTGAATTGTTTGCACTTGATGAACCTTGTGTTGATGTATTGGCTAGCAATACATTTGTTAGCAGCCTGATTTTAAAATGTTTAACAGAAGTTCAATACTTTGTCAATAAATCATTATGGGGTTTTATTTGTGTGTTTCTTTCTTCTCTTCTATAACAAATAGTATATACAGCATAATGTGTCACCTGCTCACGCTGGCGGCCATGTTGATTTTCATAATTGGGTCAAAATCAAACTTTAGCAGGTAATTGATATTTCAGACTTGTGTAGAATTTATGAAAATCAAAGCATTTCTTCAAGACTTATCACACAAAAGATTCTCCCATCACCCCAGATCCCCTTACCTGTATTGCTCTGGAGAAATTTGCATTCCATTCTGAAAGAGAATTATTTCATTTAAGTATACCGGAAAATTTCAAAACTCTCCAATTTAAATAAAATATTTCTATATTAACGAATATTAAAAAAAAATCAGGTACAAATCATTTAAATCAGTCCTATATTTCATCTGCAAACTCAAAAACTAAGAAACCAATTAATTACAATAGAATAAAGTTATCAGAGAAACTGAAAACTCAGTTCAACTTTTTTTCTTCTAAAATTGGAACCAGAATTTTACTTTCGAAACAACTTGAAATGCAATTGATCACTAAAAAGTACAAGTTCTGATTTTATTCTACATCAAAATTTGAAGTAACAACATGTTAAGCTCTCAATACTTGATATCATGTTTTACGACATTTCATTTGTTTGACAATGCAAAGATTTTCTATTTATAGAATACAAATTGAATTTTCGTTAAGTGGAAAAAAATATTTGTATCAATATATTTTTAGCGACATTTGATTTGTAGTTAATGTGTTAATACCAAGAGTTTTTCAACCTGCCCTAAACAATTTTGACTTGGGTTCTCTTAATCATTTGCTAATGCATTTGGTTTACTTCTCTATCTTAAATAGATCTTCTAAAACTGATATGGTAATAGCATTCAAGAAAATACCTATTATGCACACAAAACTGAATATGAAACGTGGTCGTGTGTACAATTTTGTACTTTTATTATAAATCATTATAAAGAAATTGAAAAGCAAGTACAATATTTCGTTAACTATTGCTTATACTGCAATAAGCCCTGGAGACCAACACATAATCTATGAGTCAATGTAAAGGGGTGGTTTTATCACAGGGCAATGAAATAATATCCCTGTCCCTTCTACTGAACTGCACTAGATATAGGTGGGCTTATTTCCAGTCATGCAGGGCTTATTAAGGGATAAATATGGTACATGTTTATAGGCAAAATGAAATCATATTATAAGTTCTAAGGTATTCAATACTTACTGCCTGTAAATTCATCTTCAACCTACAACAGGAGAAATAGAAGAATATAAGCTACATGTATATCAATTATTGAGTTTAATATATATAGGTCTAGAGCTCTGTACCTGGTCTTTTTACCTTTATTTCTTGTTGTAATACAAGAGGTCCAGATGACCTGTACTACTCATCTGGATAAATAAGCAATCATGGAAAATTCACCTTGACTATATAAATACTATAAGTATTTTCCAATTATGTTTCTGGCATTCCATGCTAAAATCCATGAATTAAATTGTGTACATGATTATAGTGTGGGGAGCCGACTCTTGAAGTGTGTATGTATCTGTATTTGTCTCACAATGTCCAATATATTTGTATATATGACACACACTACACTTATTAGTTAAAAGGATCATCACAAATAAAAAGTAGTTTTTTTGTTGTTCTGTCTAATATCTTCTAACAATTTCTTTCACAAGTTTGGTTTGGTTAGTTTGTGTTTTACGTCCTATTAACAGCTATGGTCATTTAAGGACGTGCCAGGTTTTGATGGTTGAGGAAAGCCGGAGTTCCCAGAGAAAAACCACCGACCAACGGCCAGTACCTAGCAATGTATACTGCCCCACATAGGCCTCAAACCAGCGACCCAGTGGTGGAGGGCTAGTGGTAGCAGAATGTCAGACACCTTAGCCACTTGGCCACCGCGGCCTCTCTTTCACAAGTAGTATATATGAATAATTAATCATTTCAATATTATACAGAAAAAAATCCTAATCTTTCAATTTTTTTAAATATCTTTTAAATAATAAAAACATTGCCAAAAATCTGCAGGAACAGATAAAGATATCTTTGAAATGCCACTTGACACTGTTAAAATAATGATACTACAATAAGTATTTCTAAACAATACTTACTATACTTCCCGATTCATTTCTAGCAGGTTCACCTGTAGACAAATAACAACATTATCAATAGGACTTAAACAATATTGCCAAGCACTTCCACATTTCAATTTTTTCTCATGCCTATAATAGGTCTCTTAAAGTAAAGGATAAACAAGCAATGCCTTTTAAATCCTATTCCATTACGCTGGGCACTGGCAGCATTTTTATTGACAGTACACAGATCATTGCATTTATGAATTTAAATTAAATTCATAATGCTGTGCAATATCATAATAAATGTAATTGCTATTGTGATATCTGAAACATCTGCCAAGGTTGAGAACTTGAGTCACACATATTAAATCATAAATGTAAACATGAAATTTATTGATTTTCCAAAACTTCTCATTCAACTTCTTCCAAATTAAATTAATCTTGCTGGCCTGCAGCTGGATGGAAGATCTAGTGTGCAGATGGTCTTAGTGTGGCAGGAACCCGTTATAAGAATACAAACAAAAACCTACATAGTCATGTAGGTGACCCAATAGCTTTTTTACATCCAATGAGGAAATCAAATTCAGGCCATCTTGGTGAAAGGTGATCAAGTCACAGAGTGCTCTATCCAGTGTGCTTCCCATGCCAATGCAACCATAATATGTACATGTACATATAACGTTAACGTCGATAATGAGGTTATAAAACATCACCATTCACTTGTGATAATTGAGTAAATACCATAATTATCAACCCCTCGTTAGTAAATACATTTTTTTCAAACTTTGTACATGTCTTATGAAGATTTTGAAATCAACAAACTCCCATCCTTGATCCTTCTGGGATTACACTCACTTTCGCTCTCTGCACCCCTGGAATTTGTGACTAGCTTTTTGACTGGTTTTAGATAAAAAAAAAAAAAAAAAAAAAAAAAAAAAAAAAAAAAAAAACCTGACCAATCACTAGGCTGATACCTGTCCTTTGAAGATTACAGAGGATGACAAAACTCAATGAATAATTGCAAGAAAAACATGATAACCAGCCATTACAATACACGTAAAATGAGGCCCACCTGGCCTGTATACGTACCGATGACCTTGGCTGATGTTTCGAACTGTATCCATTATTTTTGTGGTTTGAATTCGGTGAGAGACTGATTTTATCTTTTTTTAAATACTTTTTGTCTATACCACAAAGTACAAAAACATCGCTTTTATATGTACCGATAAGACTACTGAAGCATTTAGATTTCCATGAGCTGTGATGTATTGTACTATCATGTCAAGATAGCATGGCATACTTATATTCATATAGTATCGGTGTCTGGGTTAACAACATTTTTTATATTCACGGTGCTTTCTTCTAGTAGCAGATAAATGATAAACTCACCTTGTATATGCATAATATATGCTAAACCACCAAATGACAGTGAGGACATTGTTATAGCGGCTATCGCCTTGAATGTTGAAGTCTGGTACCATTCCTTTTTTCCTGTCTTCTCATCTTCTTTCTGATTAGAACTTTCCTGTCCAGTAGACGAATCGTGTAAAATAGTGTCTGATTTTTGTCGCACGGACTTAGGTTTCACATCTGATGCAAGAAGGCATTTTTCTGTCATCGGAATAAAGTTTCTAGATCCAATACCGGTTGACATATATTTGCATAACGGTGTGGATTGCATCACAGTAAAATTGCAGAATGAAATACCTATACATGGTTGTAATGTCGACACAGTCCCGTACTGACACAATAGCTTCTTAACAACAAATTTCGATTTCATAACAGAACGCATGCCACTACCCATGAAGGCTGCCATCTTGTTTGTGTATATATAATATGAGAAAAGGAAACCGGACCGGAAATGTGCCGGCAAACCGAAAGTAAGGTTCAACACGTCACATGAAAGATGCCGTAGTCACCTAAAATTCCAACCCCCTGATAATATAAGTCAGGTTCAAAGACCCCAATTAAAAATCGGAACTTATATATGTTATTTGTATATAATGAACTTGTTCATTGGCTATCCAAAAAATACGACATAGCCAGGTTAAAAATAAGGCATTAAGGCTGATGTCTTCATAAAAATAGCTCACTAGACTTACGACATATCAATCTCTTTTGCGATCCAACTGAGTGCTGAGAAATGACCCATAATTTAAAGTAAGTTTATATACCTAGGTCATGTGGAGCTTTATTTCTCTTCTATAAGCTGTTGAAAGGAATTCCGACCTCAAACCACTAAAATCATAGTAAAATCCTCTGGTGATACATTTTAGCAATTAATAAAAAAGACAACAAAGGCTCAGAAACCTTGATCGATAAATGGACTTTAGATGATGTGCCATTTGATAACATTGTGTGATTATATGAATGCGCTAGAAATGTTATAAACATTGAAGCTGAAAAGTACAATAATGTTTATAACAAGTCTAGCTCATAAAAAAACATTGAATGTTAAGAAGGGACATTTTATATGACGTTTAAGTAGTGTTTTTGGTCAAAGGTCTATGGTTTTACACCTATACCGGTAAAATATGTTACCCGGACGTTTTACTATGATTTTCTTTTACTTTCCATAGCAACAATCATCTTCTTGTGCGGCCGATATACCATTCCACACATAGTTATAGAGAAATAAAGCCCCGTATGACCTAAGTACATTTCGTAACATTCAGTTGGGTTGCTTAAAAGATTGACATGTTATAAATCTGGTGAGCAACTTTTATAATTACATCAATGATCAGCCTTAATGCCGTATTTTCTCTTCGTTAACCTGGTTGTGAATACCTTTTTAATAGCTCATGTACAAGTCCAATATATTTACATATTAGATATATTCCGATTTTTTATAAGGGTAATTGAATATGACTTGCCAGGGGAGTTAAAGTGAACCTTAAGACATTTAGAAAATGGAGCTTTTTAGCTATTTCAATTTTATACAAAATTAACTTTTGATACATTTAACTGAGATTTTGTGATGAACTATCTCGAACGAACTAGTCATATAATTGTTCTATTGTCACATATTTACCCAGCTGTTCAGCGGATACATGTATATACGTCTTTTTCAATTTTACATTTACGATAGCATACAATTTAGTTCTGTTCAAAAGAATATCAACTATTTTATCAAACAAGAGGCCCAATAGGCCTGCATCGTTCACCTGGTATTGATATTACGAGTGTAACCTAAAAAGTGGATAAAAATAAAGCTACAAGCAAAATTTCATTGTCTTGACTCAAAGTAATTCAAAAGAACCTGTTATAAGATTTAAACACATGACCACTGTGACCTTGAAAGTCAAACAATGACATTAAGTTGAACACTTTCCATCCCAGAATGCAACTTGCCAAATACAACTATCCTATACCTTTTTAAATTGAGTAGATGACTTTTAAAGATTAAGGCACAGATGACAAGTTGTGACCTTGAAAGTGTGTCAAGGTCATTCACGTGGACATGTTATGGCTCTTTATCTGAGCATGCTACTGGTCACATATCACCACCCTTTGCTTTTTTGTTATTTAGAATAAGTTGTTTAAAGTTTTTGACATATTTGACCCATGTGACCTTGAACATGGATGAAGGTCATTTCATTTGAACAAACTTGGTAGCCCTTCATGCCTGCATCTTACTAGCCAAACATCATCACCCTGGGTATTATGGTTATTCAAAAGAAGTCGTGTTTTAAAACGATTGACACTTGGGACCTTTAATATGGGCGAAGGTCATTCATTTGAACAAACTTGGTAGCCCTCATCACCCTGGACCTTTTGGTTATTCAGAAGAAGTTGTTTGAAGGTTTTTACTGACAATTGACCCCTGTGACCTTGAATATTGGTGAAGGTAATTTATTTGAACAAACTTGTTAGCCCTTTATCACAGCATGTTACTGGCCAAATATCATCACCCTGGGCAATTTAGTTATTCAGAAGAAATTGTTTGAAGTTTTCAACATATTTGACCCCTGTGACCTTGAATATAGGTGAAGGTCATTCATTTTAACAAACTTGGTAGCCCTTTATCCCAGTTTGCTTCTGGCAAAATATCATCATCCTAAGCCTTTTGGTTATTAAGGAGAAGTTGTTTAAAGTAAAATCTTGACGACGGACGACGGACGCCGCGCCACGGTAAAAGCTCACTTTACCCTTCAGGCTAGGGGAACTAATAAATAACTAAAGCAAAAAAAAACCCCGAAAAACTAAGTCAATTAGCCAAACCTAAAGGAAGTCCGGGTAAATCGGGACACTCCTGATATTTTCGGTCCAGAGCAAAAGTTAACAATTTTTAGGATTTTGCCAGTTCACTTGACTGGATAGAACATTCACGTGAAAAAAGTAGCACAGGTCTGGGTAATTTACAAGTACCAGACAGTATGCATATAAGACGGTTTACTTGGTATGCACCCATTATGATTTATTAACTACAGACCTGGTAATGTTCCTTACTTAAAAGTATTATGGATATTAAAAAGGCTTCATGGGCTTAAAAATATACATTTGATTGCTAGTAGAGAAGGCTATGGTATATTTCCATAGCTTCTAGTAGAAACTTGGTTCAAACTTGTTGGGATAATTTTCGCAGTGTTTCAGCTAGGTTTAGCCCTGTCTTAAAATGAAAACAGGGATGGGGAATTTACCACTTGATCAAAAAGACCATTCCAGTTATTCACTATCTTAAATTTAAACGAGTGGCCACGTAGAAAACTTCTACAACACTTACCTTTCATAGTCTCTTGTTGTGTCCCCTGGTTGTTTTTGTTTCATCAATTTTCAGGGGGGGGGTG